TGGCAGATATATTTGTTCAATTTCCCATTGTCAATTAGGTGACAATGATAACAGAAAGGATGACATTTATTGACTGTATGTGATCTCATCTTACCTCTCAAAAACACTATTTATGAAACCTGTCTTACAAGATGAGGAAACTGAGCTACAAAGAATTATACAAGTTGCCCAAGATCACACAGCTAGTAAGTGGATAACCGAAATCTGTGCACTCAACCTCCATGCTTCTTCGGAGAGAGGAGCAACTGTGATGTTTCTCCTTCATACATCTCCTTGAAACCAGTCTACTCATGGCACATTTGGCTTATGACCAAAATCTCTTAGGTCTTTTGTTTCCAAAACAAAAATGACAGCAGCTAAAGGTAGAGTAGCATAACCAAAATGGTTTTCTGCAGTTTGTTATCTGGAACTTGGTCTTCATGTCGTGAGGACATCATTCTCCAGTCTGTCTGCAAATGAGCAAAAATGTTGGAATTCACAGTAGTTTCCAGGGTAGAACCTCAAAAAAGATTTTAAAAATCAGCAAGATGGCTAGGCAAGGTGGCTCATGCCTGTAATTCCAGCACTTTGGGAGGCTGAGACAGGTCGATCACCTGAGGTCAGGAATTTGAGACCAGCCTGGACAACAAGGCAAAACCCCATCTCTAGTAAAAATGCAAAAATTAGCTGGGCGTGGTGGCAGTACCTGTAATCCCAGCTACTCTGGAGGCTGAGGCAGGAAAATAGCTTGAACCTGGGAGGTGGGAGACGGAGGTTGCAGTGAGCAGGGATTGTGCCACTGCATTGCAGCCTGGGCAACAGATCGAGACTCCATCTCAAAAAACAAACAAAAAAATCAGCAACACATAACATCCCAGTGCTCTAATTCATTGCTGCTGAGTCCTTTTTGAAGCCAAATAAACCTTTCATAACCACATTCCAGAAATGTTCCTGCCTCCTACTCCCATGCTTTGTCTGGAAAAAATCCTTCATATCCCTCAAGGTCCAGTTCAAATGTCACCTCCTTTACGAAGTCACTCCTAGCCACACAGGCAGAATTAATTGATCCTCTTTTACGCTCCCACAGCACTTCATATTAGCATTGCTGATATAGCTCTTATCATATTGTTTTATTTAGCTGCACAAGTAAGCTCCTTGAGGTCAGACAGTTGACTTATTCATAAACCCCTTTATTCCCATATCCCCAGCCTGGTACTTAACTTATTTCATCAAATCGACAACTCCATCAATTGTAAGATATACCATTATTTCATGAATTACTAAGAAAAAAAACCTGACAATTATTCTATGACATACCAAGATGAGTCCCAAATTCAGGAAATGTCAAAATGTTTTTCAAAATGTGTTTTAGAAGGAATGAACTGTGGCAATAAGTGCTCACCAAATGTTTATAGAACTGAATTATTAAACCAAGGTGGAACAGATATGTCTAGAGAACTGTGACAGCCCATGCTTCTTAACAAGTAAGGGATTAGAAGTTGATGATGAATGGTGTGTGATTGCATTGCTGATTTCACATACTTTACCCTTTAGATTAGTTAAAGGGATGAGTGGTCTGATGTGCCATCCCTGTTAAACATAAAAAATAATAAATAAACAAACAAATAAAATTTCCAAAGGTCAAGCTGGCTCATGCGTGTAATCCCACTCCTTTGGAAGGTTAAAACAGAGGATTGCTTGAGGTCAGGAGTTCGATGCCAGCCTGGACAACATAGAGAGACCCTGTCTCTAAAAATGTAAAAAATTAGCCAGGCATGGAGGCAAGCTCCTGTAGTTTCAACTACTTGGGAGGCTGAGGTGGGAGGATTGCTTGAGCCCAGGAGTTTGAGGCTGCAGTGAGCTATCTGCGTTACTGCACTCCAGCCTGGGCAACAAGGCAAGCCCCCACCTCTAAAACAACAACAAAGACACCTCAAGACCTCCCATTTACTACACTAGAAAGTAAAGTGACGATATATTGATTCTAGTTCCTTAAACCAGTTCAACCCACTGCTGTTCCCATCTGCCCATGAAGAGGAATAATAATGGCTCAGCTTTCTCCCAGTTTATTCCAGCCCTGCTTTTATTTTGATGCAATCCCTTCCCAATTCCAAGCTGTTGGCTCTGTGATCTTGGCCCCTCTTTCTCCTTGGCCCTCTGAAGTTAGTGATTGTATATTACCTCCCTGGTTAGTGTCTGGACCTATGCTTTCCACAGGATCTATCCATAGGGCAGGCCTTGCTGGATCTTAGTATTTCAGGCTGTCTCACCAAGAATCTGTATTCTAGTTTCATCTTAGAAATACAAACCCCACCCTCTGCGCTATACCTAGTCTAAGCCATGCATTTAATGACTCTGGACCTCCTTCCACCACGCTCTTTCCCTGCCCCCAAGCACACATACACACTCATGCAAGATAAACCAAATTGTCACTGAAAACCTTAAATGTATGGTTGGTTCATAGAAGTTCTGCTGGAATAAATGTTGCTCTTTGAAAATGGAATTATAGGCCAGGCACGGTGGCTCATGCCTGTAATCCCAGCACTTTGGGAGACGGAGGTGAGTAGATTCCTTGAGTTTGAGATCAACCTGGCCAACATGGCAAAACCCCGTCTCTAATAAAAATACAAAAAAATTAGCTGTCTGTAATCTCAGCTACTTGGGAGGCTGAGGCACGAGAATTGCTTGAACCCAGAAAGCAGAGGTTGCAGTGAGCTGAGATTGTGTTACTACACTCCAGCCTGGATGACAGAGCAAGACTCCATCTCAAAAAAAAAAAAAAAAGAAAGAAAGAAAGAAAAAAATAGAATTATACTAGCCGGACATGGTGGCATATGCCAGTAGCCCAAGCTTCTGGGGAGGATTGTTTGAGCCCAGGAGTTTGAGTCCAGCCTGGGCAACATAGCAAGACCCTGTTCCCCCTCTCCAAAAAAAAAAAAAAAATGAATTATACTGAAAGGATTGAGCCTAGTAGCTTAATTAACACATTGTGAACTTTTTATTTATTTTTTTTTTGAGATGGAGTTTGACTCTTGTTGCCCAGCTTGGTGTGCAATGGCACAATCTTGGCTCACCGCAACCTCTACCTCACGATTTCAAGCAATTCTCCTGCCTCAGCCTCCCGAGTATCTGGGATTACAGGCATGGACGACCATGCCTGGCTAATTCTGTATTTTCAGTAGAGATGGGGTTTCTCCATGTTAGTCAGGGTGGTCTCGAACTCCTGACCTCAGGTGATCCGCCTGCCTCAGCCTCCCAAAGTGCTGCGATTACAGGTGTGAGCCACCGCACCCAGCTACATTGTTAAATTGTTAAACATGTAAGCAGCTCTGCACATTAGCATTCAGGGAATAAGAGTCTTTAGTCAAGTAAAAAGGGGTAATTTTATAAGGAGGTGATGAAGAAAAGAGTAAAATAGGGCAACGAGTTCTTAGTTTGCTTTTGCACCTAGACCCTTTGTGAGAAGGCAGTGACCACTAAAAACCTGAAAGTCATCTCCCCTTTTGAGGCAGGCCGACAGTGCCTGAGTTAGATTTATCAGGACTAAGTCAGAAAGCTCCAAAGATTAGCATCTTCCAATTTACACCAATCCTCCCAGGCAAGGCAAGACTTGTTCATCCTCCAGGTCAGCTTAGTCAGTCTCCATTCAGTGACTTCTCCAACCGAGGAAGCAACAGAACGGTAGAGAAACAATCTCCACTGATTTATTATTGATAGTATTTGAAGATGTTCAAACTATATAAAGGATCCTGCTTATATTTTCTTTCAAAAGGGGTCTGCAAAGTAAGTCCCCCAAAGTATTAGAATTGAATGCATCCAATGCCAAAGGAGTTTTACTTCCTTATAGGTAGAGTTACACTTGCAAATAAAATCATTGAGGTGAAATCCCAGAACATTAAAACTGAATGGGATCCTGATGATAGATCTGCTGCCTTGTTTTATAGATGAGGACTTTTAGGTGAAGAAAGTTAACTAACTAGTCACTGGCAGAGCCGTTACTAGATGCCAAATATCCTGACTCTCAGTCTGGTGATTTTCCCAAAAGGGAAGATACCTAAATCCTTATAATTGTATCCCATCTTTATAGTCTACAATTACATTTGGTTTATTAGGCTTAAAAACACCAAGCAAATAGAGCTCCTATTACAGATATCTTGATGATTGATACAAACAAATGGTAAAGAATCAACTGGCCCATCACTTCCACCAAAGGACTGAGGCAGTACATTTTTACCATTTGTAAGTGTAAAATAAATTGTCATCACCTGGGCCCCTTACAGAGCTGGATTACTGTATAAATCAAGCCAACTCACTAAAAGTTTATCCAGATGACATCCAACTGCACCACAGTCCCCGCCAGCTTGTGATGTAAGCTGGGCAGGAAGCTTCCAAACCTTCCCCTGGTCGAAATTTGGGGAGAACTGTGTAAACAACGCCCCTTACTGGTCAACATAACAAAACACAAAAGCCACGGCTGGCAAGAGCAGGCCTAGCAAAGGTCACAGCTACCTATGTCTCTAAGTCGTCTTCTAGTCTATGGGAACTGTGGCCAGGTCAAAGGAGAAAGCCTGAGGAAAACAGCAGGGGGAGGAAAAAAACCACATTTTTTTTCCAGAGATGTTTATATGTACCTAATTGAAGTTAGACCCCCAAAGCAAGCAGATACATTTTTGGAATCCCATTGAATTTGAACAGGCACTTACAAGACCCACAGGCATATGTTATGCTTATACACATAAACAAGATTTTTATTGTTAACATCAATGAACCCAGATGGAAAACTATTCACGTGCCAAGGACATATTGCTTACAAGTTCACAAAATGGCTGTTGATTTGCATTCATAAATGATTTGGTGAATCACTATGTGTTTTTGAGTGAATATATATGTCGCATATCTATATATATGTGACATGTATGTGACATATATATAGATATGAGATTTCCAAAGCTTCATTTCCACTTGTACTCCTGCAATAACTTCATTAGAAAGAGGAAGCAGAAGCTTGGAAACATCTATACGTTTTACAGATACTGTGATTCACCAAAAATGAAAATTACATTTTATTACATATATTTTAAGTAGTACACAAAGAAAATACAATAAATGTTGATTTGGCTCAATGACTTGCCTAATGGAAGGATTTTTTTAAGTTTTTAAAAAAAATCCCCAGTCGAGTGGTCAAGGATACTTGATGATGTTGCCATAGAAGCAAAGTGTTTTTGAAGCAATTCTAAGGTTCTGTTATTTCTTGCTCGTAGGGTCTTCTCAGCTCTCAGTTCATTCTTGATGGCACTGAGCTCTCTGCGGACCTTTGCCATTTCTAATTCATAATAGAATTTCATTTCTTCTTTTAGGAGCACATTTCCAAACTCGGTTTGATGCTTTAACTGCCTAACAGCTTCTTTCAAATCTCTGTTCTCTAGGTTCAACTTGTGGATGACTTCTCTGGCTTGCCGGAGTTGTTCACTTAAGTTCTTTACATTTATTGCTTTTGCGGACAGGTCATTTCTTAAAGTTTGAAGTTCATAGTCACTTTTTGAAGTATATATCTCTGTTTCTTGAAAATTTAGAGGTTTTGTGAATACTTCCTTTTTGGAGTACAAAAGTTCTTTTTCGGCATTTTCAAATTCCTTTTCTATATTTCTACATTTCATATTGAGGTCTTCCAGTTCTTCATTCAAAAGATTCAAGCAACATTTTGGAGACATTCTTCCAATCAATTTCTTTCTAATGTCTTGTCGTTGTAGTGGTAAGTTATCTGTACTGCAGGTAGAGCTATCGTCTGTGCTGTTAAAGCTTTCTTCTGTTGTAACATCCACCTTAGATGATTCGTAGGAAGCAGAACTGGTATCTGTTTCATTCCTTGAAATGTTTATCTTGCTCTCTCTTAAATTCGGTTCTTGTTCTACTTCATTTAGTTGGAAAATATATTCTTTCCTCGTAAATTTATTTTCTTCTTGAAACTTTCTGCTGGACAAATTATACATTTCTTCCGTTCCCTTGCTGCAATCTGCACTCGTTTCTTCAGAAGAAGATTCAGGCTGAGAAGTCTCTTCTAGAACATCCTGTGCACTAAAAAAAGGAGTAAACATATTCTCCTTCCAGTGTTTTCTTCTAGCATCCATTTCTCCAGGCGCCTCTTCCTGAAATATCTGAAAAACAAAATTTAAAACCAAGGTACATTATTTATACTAGTAGCTAGTATAGTAGAAAGAAATAAGAATGCTGGGTGAAGAATCTAAACATTTGAGGGCTGGCTCTCTCTCAAACTCACTGAATGACTTGGGCCTCAGTTCCCTCATTTAGAAGTGAAAATGGCTACATGAGCTAAGTTTTACAGATGCTTCTAGCTTTAAAAGTCTCTGATCCTATGAAATAGAACTGGTAAACTGACATATTTAGCTACTTACCGTACACAGAGAAAGTGATTCTATAAGAAAACAACTGTACACATAAAAAGAGACTGCTTTAAAATAATAAAAGTGATTTGAAATTAATAGGTTAATGTCGGTAATGTCTGTGCTTTCAATGTGTCTTATGCCTTTCTAGTTCTTTTGGACTGGACTATTGTTAATTCAATCGTTAAAATGACTAAAACATCAGGGCTTAATGAAATGTGAGCTGCTTTTGGTAAAGTATACCATGCAGACTTCCTTATGACTAACTCTGCCAAATGCCCTTCTGTCTTGACCTACCAATTCCTGCTATTCCAGTCTTGGGCTTTGCTTTTAGGCAAGACTGCCAAGTGTACAGAATTCGACCCGTTTTGACAGCAATTTCATGAGGAGATCCTAATGTCAACAAGTGAAATTATTAATGCCACCAAATGTGTTTTTCTCAAGATTTTGATTCTGAGTGTACTTTTAGGTGAAAATTTAGCACACTAAATCACAACCAACTTCCCAAGTTTATAAAAATATGAAGATCGTTAGGCATTTGGGTTGGTTCCAGGTCTTTGCTATTGTAAACAGTGCTGCAATGAACATTCGTGTGCACGTGTCCTTGTAGTAGAATGATTTATAATCCTTTGGATATATACCCAGTAATGGGATTGCTGGGTCAAATGGGATTTCTATTTTTAGGTCCTTGAGGAATCGCCACACTGTCTTCCACAATGGTTGAATTAATTTACATTCCCACCAACAGTGTAAACGTGTTCCTATTTCTCCACATCCTCTCCCGATCTGTTGTTTCCCGATTTTTTAATGATCACCATTGTAACTGGTGTGAGATGGTATCTCAGTGTGATAGACTGGATAGGGAAAATGTGGTACATATACACCATGGAATATTATGCAGCCATCAAAAACGATGAGTTCCCGTCCTTTGTAGGGACATGGATGAACCTGGAAACCATCATTCTCAGCAAACTGACACAAGAGCAGAAAATCAAACACCGTATATTCTCACTCATAGGCGGGTGTTGAACAATGAGAACACATGGACACAGGGAGGGGAGCACTACACACTGGGGTCCGTTGGGGGGGAATGGGGGAGGGGCGGGGGGTGGGGAGGTGGGAAGAGATAGCATGGGGAGAAATGACAGATACAGGTGAGGGGACGGAAGGCAGCAAATCACACTGCCATGTGTGTACCTATGCAACAATCTTGCATGTTCTTCACATGTACCCCAAAACCTAAAATGCAATAAAAAAAAATGAAGATTATTATTTTGTTTTCAAAAGAGTCTTCCCTATCCAAAGGGAATCCTTAAAGTACAGCTTTCCCAAACCAGTGAAATATTTGATAACTGACTACTTCCGAGGGAAGGGAGAAAGAAGAACCCAGGGGCATGTGGAGGCCCACTGGAACCTGAAGCCACTGACTGGCAGCTGAGGTCAGCCCTAAAGGATTACTTTATTCGGGTTATATATTAATTTACCAAAACATATTTGTAGTATCCCCATGGAGAAAAATCAAAGTATGCCCGCATCTCTTTTACCTATGGACTCAAACGTAATTTTCTGCTGGTAATGAGAAATGGCAAATATTGTGTTTATTTCTTTTTTTTTTTTTTTTTTTTGAGACAGAGTTTTGCTCTTGTTACCCAGGCTGGAGTGCAATGGCGCGATCTCGGCTCATCACAACCTCCGCCTCCTGGGTTCAGGCAATTCTCCTGCCTCAGCCTCCTGAGTAGCTGGGATTACAGGCACGTGCCACCATGCCCAGCTAATTTTTTGTATTTTTAGTAGAGACGGGGTTTCACTATGTTGACCGGGATGGTCTCGATCTCTTGACCTCGTGATCCACCCGCCTCGGCCTCCCAAAGTGCTGGGATTACAGTGTTTATTTCTTAATTAATATTTTCGTCGATTATTTATAACAATTTTGGAGAACACAGAAAAGCACACAAAAAGAAGGAATCTTCGTAATATCATGGCCCTGAGATAACTACTTTTTGATGTATTATCTCTCCAGTCTTTTCTTTTTAGCAACAGTGGTTTATTTTAAATAACACAGGGTTTCCTTACTATGAGCAATGAAGCAATAAACTTGATACCTACAGGTACTGAACATGCCTCTCCCCTTTCCTTCACAAAAGATGGAAGGAACTCATCATCCTCAAGGGCACATCCCTACTGGCAACTACTTGGCTTTGAGGAAAGGGGAAAGTACACATATTCTTAAGATGAACTATTTGGATAGTTCAGTGAAGGTACTAAAATGATTGGTCCAAAAGCCAGAAGCCAAGTTTTCTTGAGGTCATTCAGACCATAGTGATAAACTCAGCCTTGAAATTCACAATATGTATTTGCCACTGGAATATCATCTTCTTTCTTTTGAAATACTCCTTTCTGACTTTTATTATTCTATGAGTCACCATTCGGAAGCATCATTGACTGATCTGTTCTTAAAGGGAAATATCATTATCTTGTTTTCCCTCCTCTCTAGAAACATAAATGCAAAACAGTAGGCATTATTACAGCAATCATTGAGGAAAGGAACAGAGAGAGGACAAAAGAGGGTGATGTCAATTGCTAGTCACATTTTTAGCAGTCCAATTTTTACCGGACAATTCTGTAGATGATAAAAATGCTTCTAATCAGGTAGCAATGGCAGAGAGATTACTATTCCTCTTACTTAATTCTGGATGAAGGGCATTGGTGGGATTGATTAGGAAGGAGGTGAGCACAGGGACAATTTAAGTGTGGCCACTTTGTATCTGGAGATAGCAAGAATGACACATCTGAGATGGAGGTCTAGGCATGGATAAAGGTTAAAAGAGAAAACTCTTTTCGTTAATAATTTTGCTCCTTGAAAAAGTTACTTCTATATCCAGCCATTCCATAAATCTCTGGTAAAACTCATACACATATGCACATGCACACACACACACACACACACACATACCCACACCACAGAATTTTTAATTTTCACTATCTTTCTTCCCTGAGCCTCTGTATAATTTCCTGCATGTCTGAAAGGAAATGCCTTTCAGTGAACCCTATACAGCTACATAAATGGGGGGAGTCCACTTATGACTAAGGCCCACAGAAGTTAAACGACTTGACCAAGGCCACACAGCCCATAGTAGTAAAACTGAGGACTCTGTCTCCCAGGTCAGCACTTGCTCTAAAATTCTTCTTTATTCATCTGCTAGGTTTCATTCCCCAAATGGAAAGAAAACAATCCACTATTTTCAAAGGTTAGGTATCTTATTTAAAAAGGCCACAAAAGAAGAGACGAAAAGTGAAGGGGGAGGGTAGGGAGAACTGCATGTCACATTTCAAAGAACAGAAAAAGAAAGGTTTGAAAAGCCTTTTGGAATTTCCCTCCCATGGAGTACACAGGGCAGGGTCAAGGGGTCTCTGAGCTGCTCTTTTTTTTTTTTTTTTTCTCTCTCTCTCTCTCTTTCATTGGCAAGATATCCTTTAAGAGCTTGCTCCCAAATCGAGCCACAGAATGTGGCAAAGCCCGGACTAGGAGTAAAAGCTGCCTGTCTCATTTTCTCTTCACAAATTGCACTTTTTTTTTTTTTAATGCAGAACGAGTATGGCGTTAGTATTCTCTGGCAAGAACAAGGCATATGCTTTCAGGCAATGACACTCCTCTACCCTGGCCTGGCATCTATTTTGTTCTCAATAAACTTGATAGGTAATTTGTTCCAGCATGAGGCAAACCAAACCAGAAGCCATTACTGAAAGTGTAGGCATGCCTGTTAGTGAGTCAGCTGCGGACATTTGTTAATATAAGCGCCTACCCAACACCACACTGGATACCGAAGGTCTGAAGGTTAGGGGAAGGAGGCCCAATGGGGATGAAAAACTGGTTTCTTTAGAAGCAAATAATACAGAACACAGACAGGAAAACAATACAGTCATATGACAAAGATAACATCAGCAGTTCTCTAAGACAGCAGTCCCCCAGAAATCTTTAGGACTGCACTGTCAAGGTATATGTGTCTACAATATGACTGCATCTATTCATTTGTGTCTGACATGAATTAATAATGGACTCCTGATCGTTCTAGTTAGTGTTTCACTGAAAACATGACCATTTCTCTTCGAGTGACATTTTTTTGCAGTGGCAAAGTAATAGGATATTTTTGTGGTGTAAGAGATCTCTTGTCCCATGAAAGTGCTTTGTATTCACCTAAAGAATTTGAGAACCACTGATAAAACAAATTGAAGATGAATTTATGATATAACGTGATGTAACATAAATGTTGAGAGCTAAGCAAAGAACAATCATTTACTATGGACCTGTAGGTACACTGTTCCATAAAAATCTTAGAGGAATGCATATCTAGTCTCAAATAGCTTCGGAAAATAATACACTACTGTTTACCGTGAAAGGGGAAATCCATAAACCATCTCAGTTTCATTTTTGAGCTGGGGTCCCAGACAGTATAATCATATTAAAGTGGACGTGAAATTTAATTATTTGTTTTTGAAAATATTCATATTTTAAATCACAGGCTTTAAGGAAATTTGATGACATAAATCAAATAGCGCTTTTTTTTTTGAGACAGAGTTTCGCTCTTATTACCCAGGCTGGAGTGCAATGGCGCGATCTCGGCTCACCGCAACCTCCGCCTCCTGGGCTCAGGCAATTCTCCTGCCTCAGCCTCCCGTGTAGCTGGGATTACAGGCACGTGCCGCCATGCCCAGCTAATTTTTTGTATTTTTTTTAGTAGAGACGGGGGTTTCACCATGTTGACCAGGATGGTCTCGATCTCTTGACCACGTGATCCACCCGCCTCGGCCTCCCAAAGTGCTGGGATTACAGGCTTGAGCCACCGTGCCCGGTCTTTCAAATAGTTTTTTTATGTTGCCTTATCCCGTTTATACAGGCATGGTGGCTCACGTCTGTAATCCCAGTGCTTTGGGAGGCAGAGATGGAAGGATCACTTGATGCCAAGAGTTCAAAACCAGCCTGGGCAACACAGTGAGACATGTGTCTACAAAAATTAAAAACAAAATTAGATAGGTGTGATGGTGTATGCCTGTAGTCCTAACTACTCAGGTGGGAGGATTGCTTGAGCTCAGGAGGTTGAGGCTGAAGTGAGCTATTATCATGCCACTGTACTCTAGCCTGGGAAACAGAGCAACACTCTGTCTCCTGAAAAAAAAAAAAAAAAAAAAAAAGAAAGAGGGCCAGGTGCAGTGGCTCACTCCTGTAATCCCAGCACTTTGGGAGGCCAAACTGGGTGGATCATGAGGTCAAGAGATCGAGACCATCCTGGACAAAATGGTGAAACATCATCTCTACTAAAAATACAAAAATTAGCTGGGCATGGTGGTGCATGCCTGTAGTCCTAGCTACTCGGGAGGCTGAGGCAGGAGAATCACTTGAACCTGGGAGGCAGAGGTTGCAGTGAGCTGAGATCGTGCCACTGTGCTCCAGCCTGGCAACAGAGCAAGAGTCCATCAGAAAGAAAGAAAGAGAGAGAGAGGGGAGGAGGAAAGAAAGAAAGAAATAAAGAAAAAAAGAAAGAAAGAAAGAAAGAAAGAAAGAAAGAAAGAAAGAGAAAGGCAGGCAGGATTTGATCTCAAATTTTCTGGACCGTCTCTGCATACATTTAGATCTGCCTGCACAATTTCATTATTCTTCCAGGCAGAGAAGGTAGGGAGTGGAAAACAGTTTTGGAAGAATCCCAAAAGCTTTTTCCCATCTCGCAAGAGTCTTTCCTGTAAAACTTTGTAAACTGGGAATGTTGGTTGGAAAATGTCATCTCCAACCCGTGTTGAGTAACATTCTGTCACTATCCTCTGTTGCTTAGTAGCTCTCAACTCAGGGCATGGCTTTTAGTCACTGCTCGGAGGCAGTAAGGTGAAGACAAAGGGCTCCTCTTAGCATAAAGAACTTTCTCCCCTTATTCCTGGATGGTCTGTTCTCTGGACCATCATAAAAAATGCTCCACCGATAGAGGAAAAAACTCTGTTACAGAGGAAATCACTAGGTTTGCTTCTTTGCTCAACTGTCCAATTTATTCTCACTTCAAAAATTTATTCTCACTTCAAAGCAGTGGTTCTCAATCTTTTTTTTTTTTTTTTCCCCTGCTTCCACTGTTTCCTGGCAGAAACACACTCCCATCACTACCCCTCCTCCTTAGAAGATTCTGACCTGCCCCCTCTAGGGGAGATTCCCCATTCTCCGCCCTCTTTCACTGACTTGCAGAAAACCATTAAATACCAAAAGAAGGACCTAAATGAACTGTCTGAAGTCAAGATGGATCAATATATTTTCCCGTGCAAAATTGTGGGGAAGAAGGAAAAGGAAATTCTTGAGAAAGGAACCGAGTGTGGACTACAGTGGAAAAAAGACTGAAGGAGTTGGGTATCTTGGCTCCCACATTTTAGAACTGTGAGCCTCTCAGATTCTTCAGGTTTAAAATAGGGCCAACGTACCTGTTTCACAGGTGATTAAGAAAAATGAATGAAAATGGAAATGAAAGCAACTTTTAAAGTGTACTGTAAACAAAGGGCTTTGCTCATTTTCAGGTTTTCCTTACCCTCCCTTTGAACAGAAACCAGCCAGTTAAACAACCTAACCTTTCTCCAGATACACACTCCAAAGTGGCCAGCCGGGAGTCATCTGACTTCAGAAAACGTTGGTTTGAAAAAAAAGAAAAAGTAGGTACTATTAAAATAAACAGAAAGAAGCCGGGCGCGGTGGCTCAAGCCTGTAATCCCAGCACTTTGGGAGGCTGAGGTGGGTGGATCACGAGGTCAAGAGATCGAGACCATCCTGGTCCACATAGTGAAACCCCGTCTCTACTAAAAATACAAAAAGTAGCTGGGCATGGTGGCACGTGCCTGTAATCCCAGCTACTGAGGAGGCTGAGGCAGGAGAATTGCCTGAACCCAGGAGGCGGAGGTTGCGGTGAGCCGAGATCACGCCATTGCACTCCAGCCTGGGAAACAAGAGTGAAACTCCGTCTCAAAAAAAAAAATAAATAAATAAAAATAAAAAAATAAACAGAAAGAAGCCTAAACTCCAAGCTCAGATTAATGTAATCTGCATCCTAAGGAAAAAATTAGCCCTAACTTCTGCAAGTTAGTTGCTGATGTTCCCAAATTTCTGAAGCCGTACTGATTTTATCTAAGCAAAAAAGTGGTAGTTTTTTCTACACCTTAATATATCAGCATTTTAAAATCACCAATTAGTTTACCAAGAGTTTTCCAAATGTCCCACTGTATTTCGGAGGCACCAATAACCTCTCAGAAATACAGGAGTATTAGTTTGAAGATTAGCAAGGATGACTTTGCACTCTGAATTCCTGTGCTTCTGTGGCATTTCACACAGACCTTTATTATACAAATACAAGATGATGGCCTGGCATTGTTATCTGACAATAAATATTTGTTTAATGAATGATGCTTAACATTCTTCCTGAAATCTCTGCAATGCTTTGATTCTAATTTAGGGGTGTGTATGTGTTTTTTTAAAGACATAATTTCTCGCACTGGGCGTGGTGGCTCAAGCCTGTAATCCCAGCACTTTGGGAGGCTGAGGCGGGTGGATCACGAGGTCAAGAGATCGAGACCATCCTGGTCAACATGGTGAAACCCCGTCTCTACTAAAAATACAAAAAAAAATTAGCTGGGCATGGTGGCTCGTGCCTGTAATCCCAGCTACTCAGGAGGCTGAGGCAGGAGAATTGCCTGAACCCAGGAGGCAGAGGATGCGGTGAGCCGAGATCACGGCATTGCACTCCAGCCTGGGTAACAGGAGCGAAACTCCGCCTCAAAAAAAAAAAAAAAAAAAAAGACATAATTTCTCTTCTGGCTTATAAAGTTTTAAGGTATGGCATTTTAGGGAAAGCACTTTTATGGTTCCCTTGAAGTTTATTTGGCTTACCTAAAGTCTTCAGGACACTTTTCTTTCATATTTTTATAAGGCCTCCCTGAGAGTGTACTGACAATGCAGCTAGATTATCAACTTACAAGACTTAAGAGTTACGTTGTGTAAGGCTCTGTGCTTCTAAATACCCCTAAGGAGACATCAGCCAACACGACTGTACTTACACTTCCTGGGTTCCAAGATCTTCTATCTACTGGATATCCTTGCCTTCCTTCGCTACTTTGAACTGGAGGGAAAAAATTCCTCCTCCCTCCATGTAATCGAGAAATGTAATTAACCAGAATGCCCAAACTTGTGTTTCTATCTGAGATGTATATCAAAATGACAAGTGATAAACTTAGAATGTCATTTGGTCTATCTGATATGTGATACCAGACACTAAGAGGTCATTTCTCTTTTTGTCAACCAATTTCCCCAGCTATTATGCCACTAAGACTTCCTTCCCCAAGCCATACAGATATCAAATGGGACAAGAATCATGGTGCCATTTTACAATATCTCGTCACTGTTAGCACCTATTGAGCAAAGGAGCCACCCTGGCTTGTTGTTAACGAGCATGCCAAGAACCGAATTAGCAAAGGTCTGGAGTCCAGGCCTTGACTCCCTCCCTCAAAGTGCAGTTAATTTGAGAAAAAAAAAAAAAAAAAAAAAAAAAAAAGGAAAACATAGAAAAGGGAAGGCATACTGAATTTTGCCTTCATCCGTCAGGGTCCTAATACATGGGCCAAAGTGTCCACTTCCCGGGACAAATTGTCTTCTCTATTGCTTGGCAGCTATTGAGGGAGAAGAAAAGTCCCATTGTAAACCGGGCCCTGTGATGGTTACTACTCCCCAATTCTTTGTTATTAGTGTGAAGTTATGCCTTCTAGAAGAAAAGATATGGGGAGTCACCCTAATTCCGAAGGCTGAGACTTTATTAGTTTGGGAGTCACATTCTTGTTCTAAAGCTGTATCTTTGTATGCATAGTTTGGGAGTTTTCTCTGTAAATGGTTAACTGAAACTCCTGCCATCGCTGCCTCCCGAGGACAGAAGGTGGCTCGGGGTCACAGGACTGCTTCGGTCCCTATTGCAGGTAGCACTTGCCACCACCCCAGTCCCGACCTAGTGGCTGGCGGGTGGCGGGAGAGGCCTGACCCCACTCCTCTTTCCGCACTGCCACTCCCACGCCCTGGTCCTTTCCCTCCCAAACGCTCTCCAGCCCTGGCCTGGGGCTGTAAGGAAAGAAGTAACCTGCCCTGGGGGTCGGGGTGCGGACTTGAGCTCCTGCCCATGTCTCCCTGCCCCTGTCTCCCTGCCCCTTCGTCCCCTGTGTCCGGGAAGAAGAGGGGCGAGCCCCGGGGAGCCCGGGCTTTCCCGTCCGCAGACAAACCTGGAAGCGTGGGTGCGGTCTGGAGAGCCCGATCATCTCTTCTTCAAAGCCAGCCACCACTGGCTCGCGGCAGCCCCTCCTTAGGCTCTGCTCACCGCGACCCAGCCGGGCCGGCTCCGGGCTGAGTCTCCGCAGTGCAGCGCCAGCGCGGGCAGCGCGGTTGCCTAGCAACGGGCCGGCCTGATTTAAAGGGACCCGCACTCGGGGCGCGCGCCGCGGGCCGGGTGCTGGCGGTCCCGCAGTCAAAACCTAGCCCGAGGACTGAGCATGCCGGATGGAGCCGGTTCGGCGTCGGCTTCTGCCCGGCAAGAATTAAGAGCTCATGGCAGGAGAGCTGAGTCAGAGTGGGAAGGGGCCAGAAACTGCAACACAGTCCCACCCGCAGTGGGATTATTACGGAGGGTCTGGGTGACTCACAAAGCCACCTGGTCACTATGACTGTATGAGGGTCAAGAGGGCGTGGCATTGGGCCAATTCCTAGGTCTGCTGTTAGCATGACATGGTGGAGAGTTTGCTCCGGAAGGGTGCCAGGATTTGGTGCAGGGTTGCTAACTAAGCAGGAATTCCACCCCACCCTCCATCCCCACGCACACACTCACGCAATAGCACAAAGAGCTGACTTCTGACCAAAGTTCTAGGGACGTTAGATGAGGAAAGCATTGCGCCCTTGCTATGCCCCTAGGGAACACTGGGCTTGTATCTCAGACAGCCCATGGTTTCCTCATTCGCCACTCAGGAATTTCTCTAAACCACTCTTGCACCCTTCTTGAATTTAAAACTCATTTGGAAGCCGGGCGCGGTGGCTCAAGCCTGTAATCCCAGCACTTTGGGAGGCTGAGGCGGGTGGATCACGAGGTCGAGAGATCGAGACCATCCTGGTCAACATGGTAAAACCCCGTCTCTACTAAACATACAAAAAATTAGCTGGGCGTGGTGGCGCGTGCCTGTAATCCCAGCTACTCAGGAGGCTGAGGCAGGAGAATTGCCTGAACCCAGGAGGCGGACGTTGCGGTGAGCCGAGATCGCGCCATTGCACTCCAGCCTGGGTAACAAGAGCGAAACTCCGTCCCCAAAAATAATAATAATAATAATAATAATAAGCTTTAACCTTTTCTTTACTTACCTAACTGCTTTGTACCCTAGATAATGGTTTAACTGTCGGGATATTTGCAAAGCAAATGCCACCATAAGGGATGGCTTTGATTTCTGACTCAGAGACTCCTGAATGGGGAAGTTGAGATAAGTTGAGTCAGGAGTAGACAAAGGAGAATCCGGTTAAAAGATATTCTGATGAGCAAAACCAGAAAACCTTTTCACATCTCAGTTCTAAAACAAGATCAAACCAGAGATACCTGCAGCCAGGAGGAGTAATATCTGGATGTAAACAAGCTTTGTGATCACAGGAAATTGTTACTTTTTACAACCACTGATTGTGTATCTGACTTCCCTATTGTATAGGCCATGTAAGGTATACATTTGCATTTCCTCTTGCTATGACGTAAACCAGCGCAGAAGAAAGTGTATTTATTCCTGGCCTTTGAAAAATAAAATTTGCTGTTTAGGCACGGCCTATCAGCCCTCCAGATCCCCGTTCTCTGTCTCTTTGCTCTCTGTCTTTATTATTTTTCCAAGCGCAGGCTCTCTTCCAGGTATTGGGACCCTCTTGCAGGTCGAGACACCCGCAGCACACGTGCTTACCCGTCCCGGACGGTCCCCGACATAGTTCCACACTACTGACAGTGTAAAATTGTTTCGTTTTATTGGTCCCCAAAGTACTCTCTTCCTACTTCAAAGATTGCTCACAACTTCTGGGATTTGTTTCGGTGACAAGCCCATGCTTTTCACTGTGTTACAGATTCTAATCACTGTATTTTGCTGAATCAATAAATAATCTTCTGAGATTTAGGCCAGGTGTGGTGTCTCATACCAGTAATTCCAGCACTTTGGGAGGCCAAGGCAGGCAGATTACCTGAGGTCAGGAGTTCGAGACCAGCCCGGCCAACATGGCGAAACCCCGTCTCTACTAAACTTGCAAAAATTAGCCTGGCATGGTGGCGCATGCCTGTAGTCTCAGCTACTAAGGAGGCTGCTTGAACCTGGGAGGCGTGAGCTGAGATCGTGCCACTGCACTCCAGCCTGGGCAACAGAGCCAGACTCTGTCTCAAAAGATAAATAAATACGCCAGGCGCAGTGGCTCATGCCTATAATCCCAGCATTGTGGGAGTCTGAGGTGGGCAGATTACCTGAGGAGATCAGGAGTTCGAGATCAGCCTGGCCAACATGGTGAAATCTCATCTCTACTAAAAATACAAAAAAAAAAATTAGCATGGTTTGGTGGCACACATCTGTAATCCCAGCTACTCGGGAGGCTGAGGCATAAGAATCACTTGAACCTGGACGGTGGAGGTTGCATTGAGCCAAGATTGCACCACTGTACTCCAGTCTGGGCAACAGAGTGAGATTCCATCTTAAAATAAATAAATAAATAAATAAATAAATAAATAAATAAATAATCTCAGATTTTGATTAGCCTGGTTGCCCAGTACTAATCCTTCCACCACCATGGTGGACCTGACCAAGGCCGTGAGACCTGAAACTGTGGATCTGTGGTGTCTGAAATGGCACCAAGAGTGATTCTTAATATTTTCTAGGAAGCATGAGGGTGAAAGGAAATATTGGCTTTGGAATCTCAAGTGAAAGGAGGTTTGAGAACTTTTAAAAAGTGCCAGTCTAATTTATCAAAGACCTAGCAAGGGAGTGACTTAGGAACAACACCAGGGTACATTTCAAAGCTTCAGCACTTCTTGGGAACCGGACATAACAGGTGTCTGGGAGCTGGCAAAGCTTCATTCAGGTGCCCTGAGGCCTAGTTCTCAATCCCCTTTTTCCTCCTTAGAGAACCAAAGTCAACAAGGGTTGGAGGCAGGAATGATCAGTCAATAATAAAATAAAACCTGTCAATGTGTGTTTTATTATTGACTGACTCCTTCAGAATTAGTTTGTGGGACTCTGACAAAATTTCTTCCCTTGACGTTGACTCTCCAAATTGCTATGCATGTGCATGTTTTTTTTTTTTTTTTTTTTTTTTTTTTTGAAACAGTCTCACTCTGTCACCTAGGCTGGAGTGCAGTGGTGCAACCTCAGCTCACTGAAACCTCTGCCTCCCGAGTGCGAGTGATTCTCCTGCCTCAGCCTCCAGAGTAGCTGGGATTACAAGCCTGCACCACCATGCCCTGCTCATTTTTGTATTCTTAGTAGAGACAGGGTTTTGCCATGTTGGCCAGGCCAGTGTTGAACTCCTGACCTCAAGTGATCTGCCTGCCTGGGCCTCCCAAAGTGCTGGGATTACAGCCGTAAGCCACCACACCAGGTCTATCATTTGTTTTAATAATTTTACAAGTATCCCGTTTATTTTTGCTTAAGGTAAGCTCCCTTATTAGTATAATAAAGGAATATTTCTTAATTGCTCTGTGCCTCACTTTCTTCCTTTGTACAGTGGGAATGCTAATTGTATTTAACTCATGAGTGTTGTGAGGATCAAGTGAGTTCATGTTTTTAAGACCCTTAGAATGGTACTTGACACAGAGTAAATCCTATGTAACTAAATGTTCGCTATTCTTATTATTATCTTGCCTTATACATTTATCACTTTCCTAAAATAGAAATATATATATGCTGATGGTGATAATTCAGGGTGTGTTCTGGAAAATGGAGTCAGAAATCTTGAGATCCAGAATTCTAAACCTTTATTTCAGGTAGAATTTCAGACTCTCACCAAGCAACTCCACACCACCCCCATATTCACAAATAAAAGGCACCAGGATTACTTTGGTCTTGCTGTAATTATCTCTTTAAATATGGTAGGTCACTCTTTGTACAAGAGGTAACAAATGGTAGAGGATCAACAGTGATGAGGACAGGGAGTTTTGTTATTCAAAGTTACTGCAGAGCTGGAGATAGGTTTTCAAATATGTAAGTCAGAAAATATTTACTATCCTCTGGAAGATATAACAATACTAAGGCAACAAAGCACTTGATATTATATTAATAGAATTATACAGTTAGACAATGGAGCCCAGCCTTCTCATTTCACCACGTAGGACACTGAGACCCAGAGAGAGTAACGTGACTTTTTCTTTGATCATGCAACAAAATAAGCTACTTTTGATTGCCCTGGAAAATGATCCTAGTTTTAGTAGCCTCAAACTTGGGCTATTTGGGGTAATGAAAACATATACATTTATAAGCATATATATATTGAGACAGGGTCTTACTCTGTCACCAAGGCTGGAGTGCAGTGGCGTGATGTCAGCTCACTGCAACCTCTGCCTCCCAGGTTCAAGCGGTTCTCCTGCCTGAGCCTCCCGAGTTGCTGGGATTACAAGCATGTGCCACCATGCCTGGCCATTTTTTTTGTATTTTTAGTAGAGACGGAGTTATACCATGTTGGCCAGAGTAGTCTCAAGCTCCTGACCTCAGGTGATCCGCCCGCCTCAGCCTCCCAAAGTGCTGGGATTATAGGCGTGAGCCACCGTGCCTGGCTCATAAGCATGTATTACATGTGGATAAACCATTTGTGTAGATAATAATAATAGCTAACATTTATCACACCCCACATCCTATACATCAGCAAATTCTGTTGACCATAACTTCCTTATGTGTCCAGAATCCGACAGCTTCTCACCATTTGCACCTTTACCACCCCTCCTCTGGCCCTCATCATCTTTCGACTGGACCTTTGCAGTGGCCTCCTGCTTCTACACTTGCCCACTGTATTCTTTTCCTGAAGTCACCATAATGAAGTATCACAAACTGGGTGGCTTAAAGCAGCGGACACTTATTCTTTCACAGTTCTGGAGGCTTAGAAGCCCAAAGCTAAGGTGGTGGTTTGAGGTGGGTTCCCTCTAGAGGCCCCGAGTGAAAATCTGTCTCTCCCAGATTCTGGCGATTGCCAGCAGTCCTCAGCCCTCCACAGCTTGCAGACACATTACTCGAATCTCTGCCTCCGTCTTCCCATGGTCTTCTCCCTATGGGTCTGTGTGTCTTCACATGGCTGTCCTCCCTCTGTGTATGTCTGTGTGACCAAATTCCTTTCCTCTTATAAGGATGCCAGTTGTTGGCCTAGGGCCCAGCCTAATCCAATATGACCTCATCTT